CTAGGAAATTTTAGTTTTGAATCATACATCAATATTTATGAAGTATAAATAAAATAAAAAATAGTTTAATCAAATATCATAATTTGAAATATGAATATTACTTGGGGATGGAATACTACCTAATCTCACAAGATTTCTCAATTTTCTTTTTTAATTAAAATAATCTTTTTATTTTGTCTCTTTCTAACTCTCCAAACAAAAATCCAATAAAATTCTATAAAAGTAAAATCTGAATAGGATGTGGACAGATAAACCTCATCTCCATTAAAAATAGAGAAAATGTTTTCAAAAGACTCACAACTCAAAAAACACAAAGACCCAAAGTATTGTCATTTACCCAATTCAATTTAAATCATGGTACAAAATAGTGGTATGAAAGCTTGAAACTATAAATTGAGTTATTTAAATTAATTTATTTAAATAACAAAATAAAATTATAAAATGCAAAGTAATTTTTTTAAAAAATACCACACTTTCTGTCCCATAATTTTTTCCCATTTTATTCTTTTCACAGTCGCTAATGTACTATTTTTATCATTAGAGCATGTATAGTAGCAAGGAAAATGAATGCATTGCACTGCCACATCAGCTTCTTCTTCTCTCATATCATGGCATGACAAAGGTAAAATGACATGATTGGTGTGACATGGGTGTGGCACACCACTCTCTTTTCCTTCTTTTTTATAATTTCTTGTTAAGTTTTTAAAAAAAATTAAGAAAAAAATGTTTTAGAAAGTAGAATAATTTTTTAATAAAATAAATAGTAATTTTTTAAATGTTTAAAAAATAAAGAAAATGAGAAAAATAACTAAAATCATACCAGATTAATGAAATAAATATGGTAATCAATAGAAATTAAACGGGAACTCGTAAGAAATAAAATAAATATATATAGAGCAGTGGGCTTTCACATTTTACACAATATACAAAATCCTAATGTACTACTTATTTTTTGAAAGAACAGGTTGGACGATAAAGTTTGAATTATTTGAAATTATTTTTTTATAAAAAAGAAGTGGCACATTAATACTTTGTATAGTGTCTAAAATATTAAAATCCACCACCTGTATGTTTTTATTTTATTTTTTACCAGCTTCAAGTTAGTTTCAAGTTATTTTTCATGATAAAGTTAAGATTATTCATGATAATATTTTTATAATAATAACATAAATCACCCTAAATATGATTAAAACGTAGAAAAAGTATTAAAATAGGAGTTTCATGCTTGTAGTCCCTAAATAGAAGTTTGTATTGTAATAATGTTGTACCGTACATGTGCATTTTATGTAATGTACATGATCATGATTGGTAAAGTAAATACATTTTAACTTCTATTTCGGGAATAAAAACATGAAACTCTTATTTTTAGCACATTTTCAATGTTTTACTCTTATTTTAGTCTTTTATAATAATAATACTAATAATAAGAGAAATTTACCTAAATATGACTAAAATATAATGACTTTTTCAATAACGAATCATATTCCGGGGTAAGTTTTTATTGCTCAAAGTAGAACTATTGGTCATTATCTATTGATCATTATTCAAGTAAATATCCACAACTAGTGGATATTATTCCTTCCACTAAACATTATTAAGTGCTATTTAAAGAATAAAAAAATTAAGTGCTAATATTGGAAAATGAGTTGTTTAATTTCACTAATAATAATAGGATCAACTATTTTGAGAGGAAGGGAATGAATTACTGTAATTTGACTAATTTCTGTTGGCTATGACGGCGACGTCGGCGAGTGGTTGAAAACAGATTTGTACAAAACGTCCAACGTCGTCGTGCCACATAAGCTTAGGATAAGCGACGCCGACGGGTAAACCTCTGCCGCACCGCACGAAACCTCTGGACTCTGAACTTATCAGATTCAAATCGACAACCGATTTCCGATCGTCCCTCCATTTTCTCTCTTTATTTGCATTCTCCGATGGCTCTGACTCAGCTCTTGTACCTTCCATCTTCTTCATCGATAATCTCCCACAAGCCCCAGTCAAATCCCGCCGCTAAACCCTTCCTAACGTCACCGTCTCGCCTCCGTAGCCGTGGCCTGCGGCGGCCACACCCCGATTCCCTTCGCTGCCTTGCTTCTTCTTCCTTCTCAGAGACTAACCACACCTACTCCCCGAAATCGAATGACCCAATCGAACTCCCGCTCTTCCCTCTACCCCTGGTGCTCTTCCCCGGCGCCATTCTCCCACTCCAGATCTTCGAGTTCCGGTACCGGATCATGATGCACACCCTCCTGCAGACCGATCTGAGATTCGGAGTCATCTACTCCGACAGCACCACCGGCGCCGCCGATGTCGGCTGCGTCGGGGAGGTCTTGAAGCACGAGCGCCTCGTGGACGACCGGTTCTTCCTCATCTGCAAAGGGCAGGAGCGGTTCCGGGTCAGGAATCTCGTCCGGACGAAACCCTACCTGGTGGCGGAGGTGACGTGGCTGGAGGACCGGCCTTCCGGGAACGGGGAAGAGGATCTCGACTCGCTGGCGGCCCAGGTGGAGGCGTACATGAAAGACGTGATCCGGTTGTCGAACAGATTGAACGGGAAGCCGGAAACTGCAGAGGCCCAAGATCTGCGGCGCAACCTCTTCCCCACTCCCTTCTCCTTCTTCGTGGGGAGCACGTTTGAAGGGTCGCCCAGAGAGCAGCAGGCGTTGCTGGAGCTGGAAGACACGGCGACAAGGTTGAAGAGGGAGAAGGAGACTTTGCAGAACACTTTGAATTACTTGTCTGCAGCCTCTGCTGTGAATGACGTGTTTCCATCTTCCTCCACAAGAGAATGAAATGATCTGAGCAAGTAAGTAAGCATCTGCATGCCCTCAATAGTTTGTGTAATCTCTGTGCAATTGAATGATACTTCTTCCAATCTTCCTGTAAATTTTGATGGCTAGTAGTGTAGATATGTTTATAAGTTTGAAGTTAAGAACCAATTCCAACTTACTGCTATATGGTTATGATTCCACTCAATCCAAGCACCAATCATAAAGGATTTTAGATCATTTTCTTGTGGTGGGATTGTAAGATTGCATGATCTTAGCTACCATATGAGATTATTGTGATTTTTAGAGATCATTGTGTTTCATCGATCGGTTGATCAACAATCATCATATCATTCATAATAGGGAGGTTGATCAACAACTTTTTTCAAATCTTGTTGAAATTTGTCTTCTATATGTAGTGGTGATTTCACTATATGGGTTCTAACTCATGAGTTAATGGGTAATTATGTTTATGAGAAATCCCATCAACACTCTCCTCTTGGGAACATGACTTGTCCTGATCAAGTTGTGATTTAGCTACGTGATTAGTAGGGGAATGTAGCTAGGATCTTTGATGAGTTTTCAAAAGTTCTGATGTTTCGGTTAACAGCTTTTCTTCATGTTCTTCAATAAGCTCGAGAAGGGGCGAGTGATGTATTGCAACAATTTTTTTGCTTTTTGTTTATCGTATATATTGACAATTTGAATAAGAAATTTTGTAGTAATTCTGTTTTGAATAAGAAATTTGAACACTATTTGACCGATTGTTAATTTTCAAATGCAAAATTTGGCATCTTTTAAGGCATTGAAGTTGCAAGGAATTCCATAGCCCAGAGATGTTTTTGAACTAGACAAGAAATTCAATAAAAATCAAAACTGGAGCAAATCAAAATCAACAAAGAAGCTGTGTTGAGCGTGTTTTGTACAATTGCTTTCGCGCCTATTTATAGTCCAAATGCCTAGTGGTACAAGGAAGGTGATAAGTTCGATTAGCCCTAATCTCTCTCTGCCATTGACGTTGATCCTGTCAGTTCTGCTTACTCAGCCTTCAACATGATCAATCCTGGGAAAGGTGGAAGACTCCTTTCTTATGCGCAATCAGGCCCGACCGGAAGCCCATTAACACTTTCATCATGGACTGGGCCACTCGGGAGCTGTCCTTTCTCTTTGCCGGGGTTCTTTTGGCCTATTGTGAATATCGAGCCATGCCTGGACCACGCGGGCCAATAGCCCATAACATTTTTCAGCTCTCACTCTTGTGGGTGAGGTCGTCTGCTCATTGCCTGAGGGCATTGCCGTGGAGGTGCGCGAGCAATGCTGCCATTGTGGAGTATTAAACACAAAAATGACATCGAAGCGTAAGAATGTAGGTTGAAACTCAAATGGTCAAGTTTGTCAAATTGGAAAATAACTCAAACTCTCAATGTAGCGAATGGTTGAAGATTGATGGTTCTTACTGTCATAATTCTCACGATAAGCCCCCAACCAAGCTCGACGTGAACCCACCCCCTATCCTCAGCAATTGGATCCCTCAACTTTGGAGCCAAATTTTTTACCCTAAAGTCAACTAAACTTGGAGAGGTCGAATTGACAGGGTGGGGTGAGTTTTGATAAGGCCGGGAGGGTGATTTTTTCCGAGAGGTTATAGAACAGAAATTAAGCACTATAAATTTTAAGAACGAAGCACCCTCGCTCAATGGCAAGGGATCCGGGCTGTTTTTTTTATATACTCGGTAACAATATAAAAATTTTGCCCCTTGCAAATATTAGGCCTTGAAAAATGCTGATTATGATTTATGATCCCGAGCTGGGTCGGCCCTGAGGCCCATACAATATTCGAGACGGTCTCAATTGTATATTTTGGAGGTCATTGCTCGGGCTGTAAGTTTCTCAACCACAAGTTTTTTTTTAAGGACTGAAGCATGTATAGCTAAGTGAAAGGAGATTATAAGAAATCCCATCATATACATAAAGTATACCTTCGTCTCATATAGATCTTTTCATTACGCGTAATGACATTCATTTGACTTTATTTTTAATTTAATTTATTTGATTGTAAGTATAAAATTTAAAAATAAAATTTATATAATAAAAAATTACATGAAAAACTCTACAAAACAAGAAGTGATAATTAAAACTATATTATTTTATGAAATAAGTAATAAAGTGAGCAAAAAATGAGTTAAGTTTGACCATGTAAATATTGTCTAAGAAGATCCATGAAGGACAGAGAGAGTTTGTAATTTAAGGTACATTCATAAATATATACTCTCTCCGTTTATTATTTTCTTTCTCACTTTTTTTGGGCAGTCCGAAAATTTCTTCTCATTTCCTATTTTAGCAACAAAATTTTAATGAATATGTCGTTTTACTTCTATTTTTTTATCTACATTATTCACTTTATTTAATCAGATCAAGATCAAAGATGAAAATTCGTTACACTTTTTAACTTTGCCAAGTCAAACCAGAAAAGAAATTTTTGAATGGAGAGAGTATATAATATTATGAACCTTGACATTTTATTATCCTTATTACCATAATGTTAAGAGAAACTTATTTAAATAGCACTAAATTATAATGACTTTCCCTAAATAGCATCATATGTATTTTTTCCAATGTAGCACTTTTAGTCATTATCCATTAATCATTATTCAAGTAAACAATTTAAGTGCTATTTAGAAAAATGACTTAAGTGTTAGTGATATTTAGTGTAAACATTTCTAATGTGTTAATTATTGTTACTAAAGAAACAATTGACGATAGACTTCATTTTATTTTGACACAAAGACTATTTCCTATATGTCGTCTGGGACCCCTGAATTCTTCGGGGGACTACGTACTATACCCGGTAGTGTATCGGACATTAGGATCTTTCCACCATATCATAGACGCGACGTAGTGCTAAACTCCACAGGAATCCACATATAATATTGGATTCAATGTGTTAATTATAGTACGCATGCTTAATTAATTGTATATGAATGTCTGGTATATGCATGCATGGTATGAAGTTGTTGAAACATTATATATATTGGACATAATCATTAAAAAAATTCAGGCCATTCCCAAGGAGAGGGGGCAAATGTACGTAAATTGAATTATATTGCATGAATCTACTGTTGCCCCCATCCCATATATCCCATATATCCATAATATACTTTTTTCGTTCCAAAATAAATTATACTTTTTTTATTGTATGATAATTTTAGATTTTTTTTGTTAAAACAGAATAGAGTAATTTAGTAATCGAAAACGATTAGAAACGTAAAGAGACACAGATTTAACGTGGTTCACCAGCGTTGTATTGGCTACGTCCAGAGACAAGAATGAGGATTGGATTGTATTACGACGACGGTTTGAGATTACAAAGATTTCTGCCATATTTCTATATAAATAGGCACACAAGACGGGTTTGGCCCACCCAACATAAGAAATAGGACCTAATAGAGCAACATAGCATACTGTCGGCAAACAAGCAGATTCAGCACACAAGACGCCAAGACGGGCTTGACCCAATATAACAATTAATCACATACTTCGTACTTCGTATGACCTTACAAAATATAATAAACATTTTAAATAGTACTTAAGCATAATGACTTTCTTTAAATAGCATTATACTCCCTCCGTCCCATAAAGTGTTACTGTGTTACCCATTTTGACTAAAGTTGAAATTAAGGGAGTGATAATTTTGTGTTAACTTTACAAAAATACCCTTGATGTGATGAGTAAAAGTAGGATGTGATGTGTAGATTATTCGGAAAAAGATATGATGTGATAGGTAGGGTTTGAAAAAGTAAGGGGTAAAAATGGTTTTTTAATAGAAATAAGTAAGGGATTGTAGGACGCAACTTTTTTGAAACGTGTAAATCTTTTTGGGACGGAAGGAGTATATATTAATTATAGTACACATGCTTAATTAATTGTATATGAATGTATGGTATATGCATGGTATGAAGTTGTTGAAACATTATATATATTGGACATAATCATTACAAAAAATCAGGCCATTCCCATATGGGGAGGGGGCAAATGTACCTAAATTGAATTATATTGTATGATTCCACTGTTGCCCCCATCCCATATATCCCATATATCCACAATATACCTTTTTCGTTTCAAAATAAATTATACTCATTGTTTTTATTGTACTCTCTCCGTTCCACAAAACCCTTCCGGTTTTGACTTTGGAAAAAAATAAGGAAAGTGTAATTTTGGTTGACTTTCCAATTTTGCCCCTGATGTGATGGGAAAAAGTAAGATGTGATAGCAGTTTGGTTATTAGTGAAAAAGTATGATGTGATAGGTAATTAAGGTTTGAAAAAGTAGGGGTAAAAGTGGTTTTTTAATAGAAAGTGGAAGTGTTTTGTGGAAAGCAAAAAAAATGAAAGAGGAAGGGTTTCCTGGAACGGAGGGAATATGATATTTTGAGATTTTTTTTTTGTTAAAATGGAATTTCAGGAGTACATAGTGAGAGAGTAAATAATACATCCTCCGTCCCCGAAAGAGGTTCCCTTATTGACTTTTTGGAAAATTAAGGGAGAGATACTTTGTTGATTTTCCAAAAATACCTTTGATGTGATAAATAAAAGTAAGATGTGATGGATAAATTATTAGTAATATAAAAAGGTATGATGTGATATGTATGATATAAAAAAATAAGAGGTAAAATTAGTTTTTTAATAGAAAAAGGAAGGAGTTTATGAGACAAAGAAAAAATGAAAGGGGAAAATGTTTCAGGGGCGGGGGAGTAATATTTAGGAGATCATTATATTTTAGTGGAACATGATCGAAATAAGAGCACAAATAAATAATGATATTAGTGGGATAGTACATTTTAATGACAAATTTACCTAAATAGGACTAAAACATAATGACTTTCCCATTATAGGACCATATGTTTTTATTTCCCAATGTAGGACCTTTGGTCATTATCAAGTAGTCATTATTCAACTAAATGTCCATCATTATTGGACATTATTCCTCCTACTAGGTCATTATTAAGTTCTATTAAGGAAATAAAAAAATTTAAGTCCTACATTAGAAAAGTCATTATATTTTAGTCCTATTTAGTTGCAAATTTCCATTTTAATTCATTCGAGGAATTTACGTAAATAGCACTAAAACATAATGACTTTCCTTAAATAGCACTACATATGTTTTTTTCCCAATGTAGCAATTTAGTTGTTATCCATTAGTCATTATTCAAGTACTCCGTAAATGTTTGACATCACTGTTCATTATGTACATTATTAAGTGCTATTTAGAGAAATGACTTAAATTTTAGTGTTATTTAAAGCATATATTTCATTCGTATTTTTATTTTGAGAAATTTACCTAAATAGGA